GCTTCGCGGTACTGGACAGGCAAGAACTTCATCACGAAATCTTTTACAATCAGGACACCTGTCGAGTCTAGTGATGCTAAACTGAGCTCTGGCCGGGCACGATCTTGGTTTATGCTACTAAGCTGGTGAGCCTTCCATGCTGTTATGGCCTCCCTGGCTTTCGAACAAGGAAGACGGATTCATCGACTCATCCTTATCATCTTCACTTTAAAAATTTCCTGCATCCACTTCGGAATCAGCACCTTAAATAACCTAGTAAAAAGACAGCACGCACGAAAAATAATCCCAATAAATAGCTGGGATAATAGGTTTCCTTCATTACAATTTGTACTGCATACATAAAACAAAGGTCAATTGGTAGCCTTAAATACACTAGATATGTAGCATCATTATAAGACATAGCATTATAGAGTGCGAATACGCACCAAAACGAGTGCAAAATATGAGATCGTCTTAAACCCGTCTTAGTATCCCTGATCACGCGCTACGAAAAACACGGTAAAACGCCAAGATTATAAGGTAATGTTGTCTATTAAATAATTTGAAGAAATAAAGAAATACACTCTGACTGGTCAAAATATCATCCATATTATACAACTTTCCGCTTAATTACCTCTTTGTATTGCCTTAAAACACAACTGAAAACCAAAGAGGACTAACAGCAATCATCTGAATTCCGCGCGCGTAATAAAAACTACTTTGTTTGAGAAAAGGGACTGAGAAAAACACACCTTATTTAATTGTAAGCACCTGTCACATATTTGGCTGTGTTCGTGGTTGCATCGGGCCTGGTAATGGCAATTGTTCCCATCACTCATTGCAAACTTAATGCAATGATCGACAATTGAGCACTCTGTTGATACGTGCACCAAGAAAATCGGAAACGTTTGCTTTTACCACACACATAAAGACCTCCTGTCCAGAAAGTATAAAAATGTAAGTAATACATTCTACCTTGTAATCTTCTTTCAAGTACTGCTTATCTTCCGTTAGTGATTCCTGCAGTTGAGCCGCTTTTTCATTTGTTAGGCTGGCTTGTGATAACTTGTCGACAATTACCCTCAGGTCATCGAAGACCCTTGTTCCTTCTGCTAAGTAATTGTCCAGGCCTTGTATACACTTTCTTACAGAAGCACCGCAACTCTCAGCGATCACCTTCAGCAAGGTGCTCTTCCCAAGTGGCTTGAATCCCGTCTCATGGCAGAAATGGAGGTACTGATCTACTGGACGATATAGAATCAATATCCTGATGAAGTTCAGTATGTTTATTTCTTCACCAGAAGTGAGCCGCAATTTCCTCGTTCCAAATGGTAAGTCTTGTCTGGTGATAAATTCAATGAAGTGCTCGACTTGAGCTGGATCGATCTTCTGTATCAGTATCATTTTCTTTTTTCCAATATGTGTTGCAAGAGCCTCTGCCCCAGATTGTACTCCATGACGACGAGCAGCAGTAAAACGACTTCGAGAAAGACCTGATATCAACTTCTGTAGATCGTTAAACGAAAGCTTATCTGCCATGACACTTAGGATATTTTTTCGCGTACTTGAATGGGTAGCTTGCTTGTAACTTTCTATCAGTGCGGTCAAGAGTGATGATTCTGTTCTGGATTCGTTGTACCAGTCATTAATGCTTGGCGACGCGTTCAAATCACTCCACAGCAACCCCGCGTCATTAGGGGCAATAATTTCAAGCACACTGTTTACGACCTCATTCATCGTTGATGTATAATACTTTTGGGTTTTCGGTGTAGCGTAAACCCATCCTACATGGAAAGTCCGGGTTATTGGTCCGTGGCCTGCTAAACTCAGTAGGTTGTTTATAGCTTCGAGTTTCCCTGAGATTTTCTGGCGACTGTTGCTGACGATGACTTCATCATCACTATTATCACTGGCATCATCCTCTGTGCCAACTATATTCCAAGAAAGGTCGAACTTCTTGGGTGTGGTGGACAGTGCACTGACTCTACGAAGCCTTTGAGTGCACCTAGTTTTGCTTGGACGGTCAATGGGACTCTGAGGGAAAAGGCAATAATACAGCAGACTGTAAAAGCAGGCAGTTCAAAGCGCTAAAATAATCATAACGGCTGTCAAATACAATTACCTGTTCTGGTTGTTTGCATGCGGCAAGAAGCCTTCTGCACTCTTTACAGACAGCTGAAGCGGAGAAAAAGTACTCAAATATTCATTTTTTCAAGTAAGAGTCTTTTACTATGGGACATGGCGTAAAGTGTACTTTAGAAATATCTAGCCACCGTCCACGAAATAATGTTTGAACCCACCTAACCCCCTCCCACACACACCCATTTCTCCCTAGATGTTGTGTGTATGCTATTTCTTTGATTTGGATCCCTCGTTCTAATAAGCTCCCACTTCTGATAAGACCACCTCCAAAACATACGAAATTGAAATAAGATCCTCCCCATATCAAGCATCTACCTTCTCCCCTCCCCTCCCAACCACATTTCACCGCCTCTCTCACGTGATTATCTAAATATGCCAACATCTCAGAATAACTACTTTTATACGGAACCTCGTTACACTGAGTCTTACATCTGAATTTGTTTGTTTTTTTTTGGGGGGGGGGGCACATGTCGCTTTCTATTTTGAGATAAATATCTCTCAGAGGAAATGAGGAAATTGTGTATTTTCCTCTGATCCTTACCTTCCCTTCGGGAAAATTGACCACAATTGAGATGCGTACGGGTAATTGTTTTTGTAATACAAAACCTGTTTATTCCAAAAAAAAAAAATAGGAAACTTTCTTACCAGATCCTAAGGGGATGAGTTTTCCTGATATCTTCTTGATATACTGGGATTGGTCTTTTATACAGCTGCAGTCCCCCTTCACTGCTGCGCTCCTGTGTTGTGCCACTTCAGGAGGTACTTGACAGTTTTTGCACCGGCCCCATCAGCAAATCCCCAGACGATCTCGGTGATGTTGACAAATATCAAGCGAGCTTGCTTCATTGTGATTAACATCAAAAAAACTCTTGTAAAAGTGTATGCGTTTAGGCATATCCAGTACCTTAATGTAAACAGACTTAGAAACAGCGCAACAACAATGCACCATACATGAAGAAAACCATAGTTTCTTTAAACAAATGCTGAGAATATGCATTATAACATAAATCTAAAAACAAAAACGAAGTCAATGCAGCTGAACTCAAGCTTGGGTGAAAATTGAACGCATGATCATAATAGCCACACCCAAAAACATGAGATTTTTTTCTAGCTCTTCGCCGAATATGAGCTTCATCCCTCCAACATTTTCCGAGAAAATCGATGCTGAAATCCCGAAAATAGCTTTCACAATATGATCGGTGCCAAACTCAGCGACCAAAGGAATTCAAGGCGTGCAGACCGGTTCAAATCTACCAATGAGCGCTTGAGCGCTTGGCAGCCCACAACGATGCCAAGCGGAGGAGGATTTCTTGGCAGCGAGATCATTTGATCTTTAGGATAACAGAAGGGGATCAGTCATAACTTAGAGTGACCAGTCCCTCGTATTCACCCAGTCGTTCATTTTGGCAATTTAGTAGGGTTTAAATTGTTCAAGTATCTCAGTTAAAAGAAAACAGTAATTAAAGAAACGTAAAGCATCTTAGAACATTTTTTCAATAGAGTTAAAAGTTGGACTTTTATAGTCCATCAAAACCGTAGTAAAGACACCTTGGGTACTTTTTATTTGACCATATATTCCGGAAACTCCGGGTGGGGGAGTGAATGGAACAGACAGTTCAGCCTAAAATTCCGGAAAAGCGGAGAAGCCGGAAAATTCCGTTTTATTAGACCATTCTTGCTCGGGCCAATGCTTCTTCGAGCCCAGATATCGAACCCAACATGGGTGCCGCAAGCTTCTCAATACCAGTGCTTCTCATGTTTCTATCCGACACACGACGTAAATCTCTTACTTCAATATTGTTGCAGTGGAGTCGCCATAACGAGCTTTTTAAAATACAGCGAAAATACGTGTAAGCTAGCTGTAATGCGTGCATGAAAGGACGATTGAACAGCTCGTGAGTTTGCTTAGTCATTCTAAAGTGCCTCTTGAACTCGTCA